AGCCTGGTAAGGACGCAGTTACTACTGACATCAGTGCGAAGCTGGTAATGGATTCATATTAAAGTTACGTTTATTATCATACATTCCACGGGTTAGTGATGTGCCCCGGATGCGTATGAACCGTAGGAATGTCATACCAGAAAATCTCGGGGAACCAAGTTGAAACCATAATGAGGAAAGAGATAATGAGATGGTAGTTGTGACTCGTCATCGGCCATTTTGTTTTATTATTCCCCGCTTTTAAAGACTGGGAATCAATAGATCTTCCTACCTGTGCAACGGCATTCGATTCAAGGTTGCACCATGGATAGCTCATGGTCCTCGGGTTACGCTGATGGCATACAGGCGTCGGAATATGGATGACAAAGTGTTAGAAAGAGGAAAAAGAAATCGAATTATACCGTTCCTATGCGACAGTAGAGCTCCGCGGTGTCCCGTGCACATTATTTGGGGTTTTATTACATGTTTCTTTAATTTATAGATTCTCTTCTTGTTACTTATATAATCTTCTGTTATTTTTGTAGTGTTTTGTATACCTTTTCTAGGAAATAAGGTTCTTGTATTGTTCTTGATTATTAAGTCTGCAGTGGGAAATTTTCTTTCTCTTGAAGAATATGTTTGATTTTTATTTTATTTTATGGTTCCTGCTTCCAGTAGTCCAAATGACACTCATTTCCTGAGTTCTTTTCATGATTAGTTGAAGGTGAAAGTTTATGATTTATGTGTTCACTTACACTAACATTGAATTTATTAATATTTAAACCCATCTCTTGCTACACAGCATGCAAAAAAAATTATGAACTATGAATAACAATGTAATACATGCATATATATCTATGTGTGTGTGTGTGTATGTGTATGTGTATGTTTGTGTGTAATATATATATAATATATATAATAATATAATATATATATATATATATATATATATATATATATATATATATGTATGTATGTATGTATTTATTTATATATAATATATATATATATATATATATATATATATATATATATTATATATATATTTGCATATGCTTAAACATATTAGTAGTAGTAGTAATAGTATATTTTTGCTAGTTTTGATATTATATTTACATTTCTGCATTTTTCATATATGTATAAGTTTTTTATTGTAATGTTTTTGAGATTTGGTTCTTATGATTATATATTTATTGCATTATTACTAGGTTACCTTTTACTTTTTATGAATATTACTCATCAATTAACAAATATTTTCATTGTTGTTATTATTATTGTATCATTGTTATTATCTATATATTATTATTACTTTGTTATGATTATTTTTAGTATTTGTGTTACAAAAGTTATTTATCACAATTCAATTTTCTGTTATTACTATCAATATTACTATTATCATTTTTGTTGTTGTTGTTTCTTTTATCATAGTTTTATTATTATTATTATTATTATTATTATTATTAATTTTATTATTATTATTATTATTATTATTATTATTATTATTATTATTATTATTATTATTATTATTATTATTATTATTATTATTAATTTTATTATTATTATTATTATTATTGATGTTATTATTGTTATTATTGTTATCATTATCCTATTGATATTTTCATTAATGCTATTATTGTAATTCCATTGTTATTGGTGATAATATTATTGAAAATTATTATTATTACTGTCATTATTGTTATTGTTGTTTTTAATATCATCAACATCATCATTGTTTTTTTATTGTAGCCATTGCTGTTGCTATTATTATGTTGTTGCTAATATTTCTTTATATTATAATTTTCAAATATTATTGTTATCATTATGATTATCTTTTTTCCTGTTATTGTTATTACTATTTATGTTGTTATTGTTATTATCATTGTTATCATTATTGTCATAGTTATTATTATTGTAGCCATGAGTAGTAGCAGTAGTCATAAAAATAATAATGACAGTAATAACAATGATTTATATTTTTCATTGTTATAGACAGTATTGCTGTAATGATAATAATGAAATTAGTAATGATAATGATGACATTGGTAATTAAAGTTTTGATTATTATTATCATTGTTGTTATTGTTGCTATTACTGTTGTTGTTATTGTTATTATCAATTTTATTATTGTTATTACTACTACTATGACAGCTATGGTTTATGATATTATTTGTGTGATTATTATCCCCATGTTGATATTATTAATTATTTCTTTATAAATGATTTATTTGTAAATCACCATTCATCATCTTCAAAAATTAGCGAGGATCAGCTGAACACAGATTATTATTATTTCAAATGAGAATCATCACAAACCTGTAAATGTTTCAAATGATTATCATAATCTACCTGTCAACATTGTAATTTGCCAGCCCATTAATGAATAAATAAATAGAAGGTAACAGTAATAATGATAGTAATGATGATAGTTGTAATAATAATGATGATAATAACAGTAGTAATAATAATAATAATAATGATAATAAGAATAATGATAATAATGATAACAATAATGATGGTTAGA